TCATCAAAGCCATCCTTAATCCCAATGGAAAGTGATGATGGAAATACTATTTTTCTCTCTGCCAAAATGAATCTTCTCTTCAGCCGAAATGGCTTAGCCAGATCACACTGGTATAACTTACGCTTCCCTGTGCCAAGCTTTCTGAGTCTGGCTCTTGGAATGTCTCTGTAGCAATTTCTTCTACATAATGGAACACATTTCTTGCTCAGAAACACTTAAACTTCAGGAAATAGRGCAGCTATTCTGAAGGCTTTGTTTTCAGGTGAAAGTTTCAAACCTGCCTTCTCAAAAGCTCTGCTCCCATCCACGTACACCAGGATGCACTACACTGATCACGGTTTTAAGCTTCTCAGATTTTACCTCCAGCTCTGCTTGGACTTGTGCTCCATATCTAGCTGTATATAATTGAGAAGACAGGCAAAACAAAGAAAGGCATAGCAAAGATGAAACAACTAAAAGAGTTAAAGAAAGAAAATGACCACCAACTATATTACGACACTACCATTTACCAAGAAAAGGCAAGAGTGTTTGCACTTCTTTAGCACCTGAAGCTAAGGAAGATTCTATGCTTTTGTCCCTTCCTAACAAGATTAGGATTATAATATATGTCAGGTCTTGGTGATTATAAAAAAAATTATTAAAAATAAATAAATACTTGAGAAATGGATTGTCACTGCACTGACAAACTATAAACTTTGTACTGAATTCATCTATAAACCTTGACCTCACCTAAATCACAAAACATGTTTACAGCCAAGGCTATTTTTSTGAATCATTCAGGCAAAGCAAGGTACCTCCTGACTCCATGATAAATGAATATCTCTTTCCTGGAAGAGAAAATGCTGCTATTTAAAGGAGCCTTTTTGCTTATTCTAATAATTCCTTCACATGTCACAGAAGTCTTTTGTATCTTAACATATCTGCCACTAAACTCCACAGAGACAGCAAGAACCCTATTGCTTTCCTGTCAATCCAGCGAGAAGACCCCTCAYGGGGGCAGCAGCAGCTGGAGCACTCACATCCAGTGCACACATATAGTTAGATGGTTTAACATGAATATGTAAAGCACACAAAGCATCAAGGTACAACAACAGATGCCAGTAAAAGAAAGGGACATCTTGGTGGAAATAAAAAATGGATTAGGTATGTTTCAGAAAGGAAGTAACTAGTTATATTTCTTACATAACATTTTTTGCAAGCAGAATATTTGAGCATAGCAGATAGATAAAATAATTTAAAAAGCTGTGATGGAACATGAATACATTCTTCAAATCTGATTACATAAAATGAATAATAATTTCAGGTTTGTAACTCTTAAAATTAGGATTATACAAAACCAGTTCACTCAAAACCATTTTTCTTGTGCTATCAATAAATATTAATGGCCCTCTAAACCTTTTTTGGGGATGAATTAACATAGCTGTAATAGTCTTTGAATGAACTTTGATCTAGCATAAAAAAAATGGTAGAAGACATTTCTCACTTTTCTTCTCTGGGAAGAAATTTATTTTGGAACTGCTTGAGCTTATGTATTGTTTTATTAACTGGGACTAATTCCCAGTTTATTCCTCTATGTCCTTATTTGACCTACACTCATCAGTTTTAGAGAAGGAACAAGCAAACAGCATTACAACATTTATTTTGCTTCCTAAGCATATTTCAGTCTGTGTCTGGAGCAATTCCCCTCAACTGCTCTGATGTCATCTTAAACCAAAATACCTTAGTGATTTCTGGATACATATCTGAAACACCACGTTTACATTCATGTAAAATCTTAAACACAAATTGTGCATTTGTACACAAATGTAAGCTTTTCTTTTCCCCTTGAACTACAATTAATATTGCACAGATGTTGGAGACCTGCTTATGAGGCAGTACTCTAGCATACGTACCTAATTAACTAAATTAAACTTAAGTGTCAAAAACACRCAATTCCCCATCTTCAAAGCAACCTAAACTCCCAGAAGCCTAATTCTGCTGAATTAACAAAAATGTCTTCATCGGCTCTGAAAATGAGCCTTGTGCTTTCCAGTGCTGAAGGCACAAAAGCTATTTACCTATGGTAATTGCACACCTTTCTACCCTTGTCATTGTACATCAGGCAGCTCAAAGGCATGGCCAGCACRTGGGTCAACAACCCTGGTACAAGGCTGCATGTCCCAGACCTGCTCAGCCCTGAATTACAGTCGAAGAGCTGCTGCAGCAGACACACCTGTCACATTGAGCATCACCCTCTCGGAGACAGAGGGCACCCCTGTCCCTTCATGCTAGCTGCAGTCTCAGTTTAGGGAGCTGGCAAGCCAGACTCTTTGCAAGAAAAGAGCATGATAAACAAGCTAAATCAATAGAAAGCTTCCATCAGAATTGGATACCAGCCTGGAGACAGCAAATAGGTGACTAAATGTCCAATATCTGGTCTCAAATGGTGTGCAGTTGCCTGGCCAACTGCTGGCYTCACACCCTTGATCCCACCAGAATGAATATGTATGGGATCTCACTCTGTCAAGGGAGATGGCACAAAGTCAGCTCCAAGCACAGGCTCTAGTATGGCTGAACCTAAGCTTTGTTTACTTTCAAGACGCAAAAGCATCCCTTTTACAAGTCTATATTACACTGGTCAGCACAGGGCTCTGGTGCAAGATTAACAAGCACATGCAATTTTTATTTCTTCTGCTGCCAGAAGAAAGAGAACTACTGAAGTGAATTTTTTAGGAAACCATGAAACCATAGATCAAGTCCCCAGACAACATAYGAGATATGGTACAAGTACAGAGAGTATTTAATTAAGTTTATTGGAAGGTCTCAGCATAACTGTGCGGGGCAGAGCATGCTAAGATTGTCAGGATTCACCATCTGAGTGGGGCTGGATGCTCGTGAGAACTTTTGCAGGTATGAGCAATGGGAGAAAAAAAGAACAAAACATGTAATAAACAGATCTTGTCTAATACTCTGTCCTAAATCATAAAAGAACAGCAAGTAGATGTTCTTTCATGCTGTTATCTCAAATACCCCTGTTCAATTTATACTTCCTTCTCTGACATTTCAAGCAGGCATATGCCCAATTCAGAATGAACGTGTTAAATCATTGGAAGCAATTCAGTCACCAACAAAGTGACTCCCTTCACATACAGAATCATTAATAGCACAACAAATCAGGACATAAATATGTAGTACTGTGTCTCATATTTAAGCACAGAAACAAAGTACTTTTAATTTTTAGTTTCTGAAAGTAATCTCGTAGAAGTTACTATTTCATCAGTACAGAAAAAGTCACTCAAAGATGATGCTGTGGTTAAGATTTACTTATAATACAGATTTTTACTGCAGTTAGGACATCTGGACCACAGCTGATCAGCCAAGAATCATATAATCCTCATGTGCTCTTGAAACTCAAGAGAGAAATCAATTGGTCCAGTAGATTGCACTGGGGATTATTTCTGCCTGTTGAATGAGTCTACTGTAAAATGCAGACACAGCAAGGAAAAGGACCAAGTCAGGACACATTAATTTCTGTTCTACTGACCATTCTGTAGTGGCAATGAATAGAAGCTGGTACATTTATATATTCAGTAAACATTAAAGAAAAAGCCTTAAATAGAAGTCTTATTGATTTTCTTCCTGATAGTGCAGAGGACAAGCATTTGAGCCACACATGTAGAAGCAAATAAACAGAAACCTGTATTTTCTCTATCCAAATCTGTTTCTTAATAAACAGAATGAACTTTACACCTGAATTTTAATTGTTTATTTCAGCTTGATGTCTCCACTAACATCAAAGTAACACCCTGTATTGCTGCCCAGTGTTGCTGCAAATACAAGATATCTAGAAATTCAAAGTATGCAACTCCAAGAAAATACAGAACTGTGTTAGTACAAAGAACTACGGTTATTCCTCTAAAATGTAGGATAGTTGTGACTACAGGCAACTATGCCACAGCCTTTTGGCTTAGTACCATATTCTAAAACTAGCATTAGAARAGCTAGTGAAACATGGCTTGTAACTCTGTAGATGTCTAATTTGCTCTCAGTAACAGTAAGGTATGGAGCTAGAACAAAGAGAGGTGTCAGAAATTTTCATTGAAAATTGTATCACTTTATTTAGTTTGCTTTGGAAGCTGTTTTCATCCACTTTTAAAAAAAATTGCTTGTCAAACTTCCCTCTCTGACTTGCTCTGCTAACACAGATTTTCAATAGGAAGTCAGGAAGGCCACCTGTTTACAGAGCCACCCAGCTGCAGCTGCTTTGTAGCTTAGGGACAAGCAGTGACACGTTTGCATTAAATTAATGATTATGGAAAACTGTTACTGCTGTCTTTTCTGAAAACCAGAACAGCACAGAGCCRACCGGGTTGAGCTGCACTTCTTTACATAATTAGATCATAGCAAGCCTAAGCAGATCAATCTGACACAACATGCAAGTCCCACTGGAGTTCATGGGTTTTGTTAACTGAKTTAAAGACCAGTCCCAGAAGGCTGATGAGAGTACACGTCCTTTTGAAATCCCATAATCTCTACTCAAGAATTACTAAGTATATTTCTTATGAGACTTGCTCATATTGGCCTGAGATTCGAAGCATGCAGTCTTTAAATGATTTCTCTGTATGACCAAATAGTCCTATACTTAACATATGAATATACTAAATTACATGTTTAGGAAAAAAACTAGTTCACATTAAAAAAACCAAAAAAACCCATACAATTMTTTCATAACTTCAATGCCCATGCAAAGAAAAGCCAGATATGTAACACCATTGATCCATCTTGCTTACACATCAAAAACTGTCCATGAAATTCACCTTCATTCTTCAACATGTCCCAACCTTGTCCACTATATTTACAAAAAGATTAACTGATGCATTTTTCACATTACGTACCTGGGTTACTGCAATCAAGAAAGTTGCACAGTCATGAAAAATTCAATATAAAAATACTGCTTATATAAAGCTATACATATATTTATCTACACACACAAAGCTGTGGAAAGGTATCATAAAACTTACCATCGMTTGCAGAATGTGAGTCATTTGCACAGATCAGTGCCAAAGTAAACAGCAGATGCCGAAGATCCATACTTCTGACTCTGTAATAACAAAAGACAGTAGAAGAGTTTCTTCATAAGCAAGTATTACTAATACAATACAACATTTAAACTACTATCWAATTTTACTGAATTTCTGATTGGATTTAAACCAGAAGTATATTTAGTTTATTGCCTCATAAAATATTACACGATCTTGMAGTCTAGAACAGAATGTAAATACTTGATCTACAGAAAAACTACCTAATGTATCTCAAGTTCGTTTAATACAAAGGGAGGAAAAATCAAGTACTGTCAGTTGCTAGACTGCATCCACAAATGACTTTACAATCTCCAAGAATGCAAACCCTTGCAATCCTAGCATAAACCAACATGCTTTTACAATTTCTCCCAAAAAAGCACACTCCCCGCTTTTCGTAATTCACTTGTGCCACACACACACACACACACACATCCTACAACCTATCACACAATTATGTTTTGAGGCAGTGCTTTGCTCCTGCCATTTCCACCAGAATCTGGTACCAGCAGTGAAGGCCAGCAGCTGCATTGTGCTGGACTTGCAGACTGTGCAGACTTCTGCACAAAATGGTACCTTGCTCCCAAAACCTCATGAGGTGTCCATAGGAAGGACGGGGAAAGCACACACGCCATGGATTATGTTCTGACCTTTACAGCCATGGAGATTAACAGAAACCTTCAAAACTAAAGCTACAAAAAACATGCTAAAATGAGTACAGATGCTGAAAGTCAGGCAGCAGGTTTTTGTTCTGTGGTACAAAACTACCACGATACAGGGACATTCTGCTCAAAGAAGGCAGTGAGAGAGAGTAATAGATCCACTTTCACATTTGACTGTAAATTGGTATGACAGACCTTGATTATACACTGGAGATTTTCTTTCTTTATCTGAAGATTAAATCACAAGTGTCCAAACAACCAAGCCCTCTAATGAGTGACAATCTCTAAGTGGGTGTTATCAAGTAACAAGTCATGCTATCAAATCTGGGTGCCAAAAACGAGTCAATTTCCTCTTGCAGTTATCAAAGTCTGAATTAGGTTAAAAACTKTAACTTACAATGATGCACAGTATGTAAAGCAATAGTAATGACAAATTTTTAAAGGTAATTCTCTCAATTTTTTTACACTAAGATAACAGAATGAATCCATGCTGYTCAGTACAAAACCTAAAAATCAGAAGGTATTTTCTCACATCTTAATTAATGCAACTGTTTCAGGCTCAGTATAGGAGGCATTTACTCAAACTGCTTCAGACTAGCAGAATCAAAGCTAGACCTGCAAAGGCAAGCCAGGAAATGCTCCCCACCACACACACATCAGGACAAGGACACCCAGCAGCATCATCCAGAGGAGCTTGGACCAGCGAGAGTGGGCATGGGGCTGCTACACAAAGAGAAGAGCTGCGGGAGCTCTGCGGACTGGCCAGGCACCAGCAGGGGTTTTCTCAGGCTAAGCAGACATAGGTCACTGCAAAGGTGACTCCTCTGTTCTCAGTGGACTGGAAGGAAGGAATRGGTACATAATTGCATTAGGGAGGATTTGGGGCAGTGTGGGAGTGAGACAGCTTGGGGACCAGGAACAGGAGAAGCGACAGCTGCAACTGCTGGAATGCACAGACCTGGGACAAAACTAATAAAGCAACTCACAGGCCAGCAGTCCTCCCAACTCTCAGAAGAGGAGCTACACTGCCACAGCATCAGGCTCATCCAAGATCAGCTACATTTTCAGATAGCCAAACTGGTCTCTCTCCTTCATCTGTGCTCTTGTTTAAAGGACTCTTATCTTCCATAAAAATGTGCCTGTTTTTGTAAATTCCTCTCCTCTTACACAGTTTCTACCCCATCAGTCTCCTCTCCTCCTTAGCTCTTCCACTTTTTTCCCTGAAGTTTTATTTTCTCTTTCACAAGCCTAAGCACAATGGCACTTTATTTACAAGTCTCATGCTCTCTCCCTGTCACAATACCCAGGCATCCCATGCTGCCTTCCTATTCACATTGTCCTGCTCTCCCACGTCCACCATCTCTGGTCTTCTTCTCACACTTCTTTTCCAAGCCTTTCTACTTCTTTCTGCCTAGTAACAGCCACAAGTGAGGACCTGACCCTCAACAGGAGTTCTCCCATGAGAACAAATGTCATCAGAATCCATCATCCAGAGCACACTGTTTCATTTTTCATAACTGCACCAAACAACTCTGGTGGGACCAGTCTTGGTGCCCATGAGCAGATGCCACAGAACGGCTACCCCTTCCATCCCTGCATTCCTGACTGGGGGCAACCTMAGCTTCCTTCCAGGAGGAGTGGTTTGACAGCTGAAGCACCAACCCAGGAGCCTGGAAACACATCACAGAGGTCAACAAACACACTGCACTTCAGTAAGGTCTTGTTACAGCAGATGAAAACAATCCCTTTCCAGTACTGCTGTTCCTCGTGCACTGGCAGACTTGTTTACATGCCTGCATCCCAGTGAACTCCATCAGGAAATTGCTCCAGTTAAAATGAATCCATAAACATTTATTGTAACGAACCTGTTTGAGGACCGGTTTTATCAGGACTCTACAAAGACAAAGCTCAGGAGCAGAGCCGGGAAGCACAGGACAGAACGGAGGGGAGTACACAACCACCCTCCAGCAGCAGCTATTACTTGTTTAAAAGCAATTCTGCAATTACTGGGAAGTTTCCTGCTCAGCTACAAACCTTGACTAAAACAACTACCTCTCTGAAACCGAGCACAGGATTAGCTTGCGTTCCTAAACCTCAAAGACGATCAAAACTTCTGCTTTATGCCTTGTCCTTTTGCTAGTAAAACACAGTATAGAAACAAATGCTGCTTCTTCAGTGGACTCTCACAAATGCCAGAATCTCAGCAAGACAAAACAGCACTGTCTCTGCTCTGCCTAAAACCACATGGGACATCCCGCTGAGTTATCCGTCCAGACAAGTTGTGTCTGTGAAAAATATCCAAGTGGTATAATCTGAGCATACCCAATATGGACAGGGCTGAGCTCAAAAACAGTAACTGCTCTCATCTAAAAACAAGGATGCATCATRCTCCGCCCTTTGTGCAACAGCCTCTGTAAAGGACAAGTTGTGCTATCGCTTTGGAGCTCCAACCCAGAGCCCTTGGGATAGGGCTTGTATTCAAGGCTTCAAAYAGGCAAATGGAGCTCTGCATGGAGTGTGAAGCACCGGGGACCACACGACTTCTACGTCCAGCACAAACACCCAAACCTCTGCTCGGCTGCAGTTACGACAACTTCTAGTAGTACTTGAGAGGAAGCGAGAGCTACACTGCCACAGCTCCAGTCTCATGGGAGAAAACCTGCTGGAGCTGCCCCATCATGATACCACTGTTGGTGGTACAGAAAAGAAATTCTGAGAGAAGGGTCCTCCAAAGTGCCACCTGCATCACCATGAGACAGCTACTGCCTTGCAGGAAGCTCTCAAAAATCTATTCCGTAATGACCTGCTGCCCTTTCTCTAAAACACTCTTGCAAGCTTGCTGTGAGCAAGAACAGTACTGTCCAGAGGCTTCAGAGTTAAACAAGAGACAGCTCCTCTGTAGGCATTAGGACAAAATTCACCTTTTACAATCCAGTAGTATCTACCTCCCAAMACCTACCCTATGTGCCTAGGCAAGACAAATGGCACTAATAAAGTCCCTCTTATTCAACAGGAAAAAAAAAATCAAGTTTCTGTAACACAGAATATTATTCTTCAGAATAGTCTGTGTCTTACCCAACTCCAGTAGCTTGTAAGAATGAACAGAGTTAAAATCAGGAAAAAAAAAATATTACAGCAGCTGACTGTCCTCAAGCCAACTGAAACTTGACCACAGAAACATTTGGCTAGAGGTCAGCTCAGGCTAATTACTTCAGTACAGAAAGAGAGCCAGGAGTTATAAAAAGGATAAAAAAAAATATCTTGGCCCTTTTCTATAGCAATGTTGGAGTAAGGTCAATCACAAGTGAATTTAAACACGACATTTCTCCAGTGGGACATGAACAGAGTCAGCATAAACAAGCGAAACTGGGCTTCTCTCACTGAGAAAAGTTTAGTCACAACACACCGAGTGGTTTGCATCTCCTCTTGTCAGGTAAAAATGTTAACACTCAAAGTAAACCAGGAGTCTTGCTTATAAGCAAAACTTGTTTGAAGTGAGATCGTGACCTTCAGATAGCTTCTGAACCTGAAAGGATCAGAAGGAAGGAGAAAGACAAGGACATTRAACTGCATCTATGCTTTTCTATGCACCCATGCACTTCTGCTTTTGCCATTACCATAAACTCAGTGTACTGCAAATGTAAGAGTTTTTCCCCAGTAACCTCCTCCAGGTTAGCACTGATTGCCACAGAAGCATCCTTGCAGCTGGTACAGAACCAAAGGTAGCCTCTCTGCTGCAAATCAAACCACCAAATTACTAAGTGAAAGATTACTCTGAAGMTATTTTCCATACACTGCTGTTTCATCATTCCACCAGATCACAAAGAGGAAAGAGCAAAAGAGTATGCCATGCAGGTGAGCATGCACCAGGAGATCCAAATAAGAACAAGTGCTGAGAAGGGAATGTAACTGCAGGCTCTCCAGGTCTGTCTTGAACACTCTTTATTGCAACTATCAAATATGTAAGCATGTACTTGTGCAGAACTTTTCTGGGTGAAAGGGCCTTATTTTTTACAGTGTGGACATTTCTTACAAGTTATTTCAGGGCAGGACCAGTGACAAGAGGTAATCTTTCTGTGCTTGCCTACAAATACTCACACCACTTTGGCTGCTCATGCATAGCTGAAATCACTTTGCCCGCATACCCTCATTCCCCTGAATGCCAAAAGGATGGAGTCATGCTGAAACTGAAATTAGTTTTAGCCCTTCCAATCAACACAATCTAAAAGTGCAATGGACTTAAAGCCTTCTTCCCTTGCTTGCTTGCTGATATTACAGCTTGATTAAGTCATCATCAGCCCTTGGAYGGGTGCCCGGTTTTATAGAGCCCTTGTGAGGGCTATATACTCAGCCACAGTAAG